CGCCAGGGCGCCAATCTCAGCCTCGTGGCCACGAGCCTGAGTGGAGGGGCCTCGTGCTGGGAGCCCGCCCACGGCGTGGGCCGCCGAGGTGGCCACAAACGCAGCCCGCCCTTGTCCTCGGGCGCCCGCCTTCCCCAGGACGCCCGGCAGCGTTCTCACTCCCACCGTCTCCGGCGACCTCCTCACCTCCGCCTGGGGCCGGGGTGGGGAGCGTCCCGTGGGCGGGAGGGGTGCCTCTCAGAAGTCCCCTACAGCCTGGGCCCAGCTGAGCGCGGCCAGCCTGGGGCGGCCGGACGGCCCGGGACCGAGCCAGCGTCAGGGGTCGGGTGCGAAGGAGGAGGGAGGGGGAGGAGCTCTGCCGTGCAGCGGGGTCCCCTGCGGGGAGGAAAGAGAGACCCCCGGGCATGAAGGAGGCTCATCTGCTCTGAAGCGCGCTGGTTCTGGTTCTGGTCCTGGCCCTGGCCGTGCTCGTGGGGGCCCACTGCGCCGGCACACGGCACTGGGTGTTGCCCACAGGCGGGGCCGCGGTGAAGGGGACGGTTCGAACCGTGGGGTCTTCCGCTCTCACCCCTGCGGTTCCCACAGGAAAGCCCCACCCGGTGACCCAGGGGTTCACCCCAAAAAACCATGAACTTCTCTCCCTCTCCTCCCTTCCCAGCGTCTGCGGGAGCAGAGCAGGTGGGTGTGGGCGCTGGCCCGCCTCCTCCCTCGGGCCCCCTACCCCATAACATGTGCTTTGCTGCCCAGGGGCCGTGCCCTCTGGGTGCTCAGCCTCCGGCTGGGAGGTAACAGTGGGCGGGGCCTGTGTGGCTGCCCCTCCTCCTCCTGAGAGCGTGGCTTCTGCCCAGCAGGTGCGTCGTGCTCCTGAGCTGCAGGGAGCAGACTCGGCGTGCAGGAGGCCGCAGGTGCTCAGAGCCGGGTGGGGGCGGACGCCTTGGGTGCGCAGGCGTTGGGGGGTGGGCCTGCCTGTGACAGACGGGAGAGTCTGTGGCCGCGGGAGTCCCTCCGTCTGAATCTTTCAGGCGTCCTCCTGGCCGGTCTCTCGTTTGTGAGCCCTGACGGGCAGGGGCCACTGGGTTCTGGGTCCCCGCTCCGACACAGGGGCCACGGAGACGGCCGAACCCTCACCCGTGGGGGTCGGGGGGCTCGGGGACAGGCCTGGGGGCCCAGCTCCTGTCCGTCCCCGGCCTCCCGGGCATCTCTGTGGCTTAGACCGCATGGCCGCAGCCAGGCTCTGGCCAGCTTGTCCTCCAGGCGTCCTGCCCCCAAACACCGCTTGTCCCAGAGGATGAGGGCAGGCGCCCCCAGCAGACGGGCAGAGGGACAAACACCTGGAGAGCGAGCTCCTTCTGTCGTGGAGGGTCTGCCGCCCCTCCCTGCACTCCCCTGTCGCTGCTTGAGGAGACAGCCGCTGTGTTTGTTTTAAAAGCCTGTGTGCATTGTTACACGGTTTCCGTTTAAAAATGTATCTATATATAAACTGTTACATTATCTCTGGCTGCAAGCATTACTCCCTGCCGGCCTGGGAGCTGCGTGGGGCGTGTCTCTGTTTCCTGGGGCTTAGGGGTGACGAGGGCTCGTGGCTCTGAAGGTTGGGGGCACAGCACCTGGGAAGTGGGGACTCCAGCTGTCGCCACAGCAAAGACGCGGGGGCAGTGCCAGGTGGGACGGGCCTCAGGGAGAGACGGGAGAGGGCTGCTCGGCCACCATCCGTCGTGACCCGGCACTTACGTGACCCCGAGGGCCAGGGCTCCCGGCTCTGCCCCGGGTGCCTGGCGGGCTCTCCTGGTGACGCCAAACCTCAGAGCCGGTCCGGTCTCTGCCCCCACCCCCTCGTAGCACCAACCCAGGCAGCCACGTGGCTTCTTTGTGGCTTCCCACTGCCCTGGGCCCGGGCAGCCCAGGCTGGTGTGGCCTGTCCTGTCCTGTCCTGCACGCTGGCCTGCCTGCCTGTGCACCCACGCAGATGCCCCAGAACGTGTGGCTGGGGGAGCAGAGGCCGCCGAGGGGCCAGCCCCGGGGATGTGGGCTCCAGGCCCTCGGGGGAGGCGCCCCGTGACCCCTTCTCCAGGAAGGTCCGGGGGGCTGTGTCCCGGGGCTGTGGCGGCAGAGCCAGGATGAGGAGAGGACAGCTGGGTGTCGGGAGGGGAGGGGGTGGTGCACCCCCCAAGGCTGCAGGGGTCCAGGGAACGCGGACCCTGCGCCCAGAGCCAACAGCCCTGCACCGTCCTCCCCGGGCAGGAGCCCCGAGCCTGCCCCGCACAGCCCCACTGGGCGCCTCAGCGTCCCACCGGCCACAGCCCTGCTGGGCGCCTCAGCGTCCCACCGGCCACAGCCCTGCTGGGCGCCCGTCCCCGGTCACCCTCCCCGGCCCTGGCCCCGTCTGTGCGGCTCCTCCAACTGCCCACATTCTGTCCGTTTGTCGGCGGCCGTAAATATCGGAGCAAAATGCAGCGAGATGGCTGGCGAGGGCTGCGGGAGCTGTCGCCGTGGCTCCCCCGCCGCTGAGTGACAGCCGGGCCGGGGAGCCAGCAGCCTCCTCCCGCGCGTGGAGGCAGCCTTGGAGACGGGCGCGGTGGACCCCCGAGCCAGGACGGTCGGTGCCAGTCAGTAAATCAGTCACACTGTGATTACGGCGGCTGACAGGGCGCCGTGACAGGTTGCCGCGCTCGGGGGGCTCCCTCCAAAGCCGCCGAACGCCCAGAGCGAGCGGCTCCAGAGGGGAAGGGGGCGAGCCGTGAGCCTGCTCCGGCTCCGGGGGCGCAGTCCGGCCGCGCCCCCCGCCCCACTGCCTGGCCGGCCCACGGCTGCAGAGCAGTCCCCTCCCCCCGTGGGCCCCCCTGCCCGCCCCCTGCAGGCCTGGGGTCTTTAATGGGTTCCCGCCGCTCTCCGCCGGAGCAGCTGCTCGGTGCCAGGAGAGCCGCGCAGATTTGTAAAGTGGCGAGCCCTGCTAATTAGCTCGGCGCGGTCGCCGTTCTGACAGCGGCCCTGGCGTGGCGGAGGACAACTGCCTTGAAGTGACTGCGGGCTGCCTGCCCCCCCCCAGCCCCCCACCTCCGCTCGCGGGAGCTGTCCCTCCTCTTCACGGACTCTGTCAGAGCCCCCCTCCCGGGAGGACCCCCCACCCTGAGGCCGCTGCGCGCCGTCCCGGCCCGGAGACCCTGGCACTGTCTCTGGGGGCGCTGGGACCCCAGCTCCAGGCTGGTGGCAGGGGGGTGCGCAGGGCGTGTGGGTCCAGCGCGTCACCGGGTGCGGTGCAGGTGCAGGTAGGGACGCCAGCCTCCCACAGGTGACAGGTGCCTCCTCCTCTGCTCCCTCCCCTCCCCAGGGGGCTCCGGGGCTCTGGACCGGCTACTGGGAAGCCCCACCTTGCCCACGAGGACACGGGCCCAGGAAGGGGGGGATGGCCGAGGGCCCCCCCCCACCAGGTGAGGCGGAGCGGGGGCTCCCGCGTCCCCACTCCCACCTCGCCCTGCAGCGTCACCGTTGCAGCCACGCCGCGGGGCACACAGCCCTCCGCCCCGGGGGCGGGTGTTTCTCCGGCCGGGCCCGCTGGGTGGACGGGGCGGCTCTGCTCCGGGCAGCAGGTGGGACTGGGGTCGGCTCCCCCCGTCCTTCACTCCAGGGCCCGGGCCGCAGGGACGGGGCTGCCCGGGGGGGGGGTGTTCGGTCCCGGTGGACGTGGGAGTGGCCGAGGGCAGTCAGACCCTGCACGTCGACGCCCCCTGCGGTCACACCACGTCTGGTCAGTGGTCATCGGACAAAGCGACCACGGGGCCGTGTCCTGAGGCTGAGGGCGTCACAAAGACACCTCGCAGAAGCCGGGGACAGAGAGTCCCCTCAGGGACGGAGGAGGAGTGGGAGACCACCCAGCTGGTCACGGTCACCGTCCCTCACCAGGACGAGGGGGATCCCCCGAGGCTGATGCCGACGGTGGCCCCCTTCTCCCTCCGGCAGCAGCCGCCGCTCGCTCCCCGTCGCCCCGGGAGCTCCTGGGGTGGGGTCCCGTCAGGGCGCCTGCGTGGGGTCTCGGCCTCCCCCACCCTTCCCCGGCAACTCCGGGGTCCCACGCAGTCCGACCCCGGGGGCTGCCTCCCGCCGCCCCCCCCAACTCAGGGCGCGTGCTCCCTCCCTCCAGCCGTGGTCTCAGCTCCCCACGCCGGCCCCCGTCCTCAGTCCCCACCACCTCTGCCCCCGGGGGCGCCGGTGCCCCCAGCCCGGACCCGACCCGGACTCACAGCCCGGCCCCGGAGCCCTGGGCAGCCTCTCGGGAAAACGAGACACCGCGAACGCGTCCTCCGCGTCCTCAGGGGAGGCCCCCGCCGGCGGAGGGATTCCTCCGGGGGCTGCGGTGCGGCCGCGTGCACGTGGACGCTGGGTTCTTCTCGGCGATTTACACGCAACTTCCAAAATAATTCCAACCTGTGGAGTTCTGTGGGGGGGACGTCGCAACGGAGACAGCGTTTCCCGAGCGAACCAACCCGCCTACGGCGGACGCGGCTCTCCACGGCCTCCGCACCGTCGTGGGCCTAATTCTCAGCGAGACGCGGTCTGATACACACGCGCGATTACTCACGCCTCTCCCCCCTGCTTCGAGGAGAGAAAAACCTACCCAGTATTGCTGCTGTTCTCACCCCCTAATTCCTGAAGTAATCCACAAAACCAAACGAGGAACCTGAAGGGAACAGCAAAGTAATGGGCGGCTCTCGGAAGAGAGCAGCCGCTTCTCAGCTTCGAGATGAATTCATTTCGCTCCGTGCAGACGTGTTAAATCTATTCCCATCCACATATTCGAGATGAGTTATTTCACTACATTGTTGTGCTGTACAACATGAGTTATTTTGGTGAATTAAATGCTAGGGTGTAATTTTCAAAGGAGACCGAGATTTGTAAATGCAGAGCAATTTATGTCAGTGTTTCAATGTGATTATTAAATATTGCGGGAAGTACATCTCGTAATCTCCACCTTTTTCCTTTTGTCTTTTTCTGTGCGCTCACAGGTTGCCGTGCAGGCGGGTGTCGCCACTCTGGAGACGTCAGAGAATGCAGCTCCTGCCGTCCACGGAGTTCTGTCTCCCTCCAAGGGCGCGTGTGCCCTCCCTGCGCCCTCCCTGCGCCCAGAAGGAGCGCCTGCCCCGAGGAAGAGAGGTACATGAGACCCAAGGGCACTGCCTCCGCGCACGGCCCCTCCGCCGGAGGCTGGGGTTCATCCCCGGGCAGGTGCCTGGGCGGCAGGTTCAGCCAGGGCCCCCGGGTGTTGCTTCAAGCGGGAGCTGCGGGGACTTGGGGCTGGATCTAGGGCCCCCGGCCGGGCGCACCTGCTGGAGGCACGCGCTGCCGCCCTCCCCAGCTGCCCTGCCGCGGAGTGCGTCAGGAAGGGGGCAGGTAAAAACACCACGGGACAGGGGCGGCCTCCCCGTCCCTGGGGGAACCCCGCCCGCAGTGCCGCCAGGCCTCGCCTGGACGCTCGCGCCAGGCGGCTGGCACACAGCGGGACTGGACTTGGGGGCCGCCCCCTGGGGTCGTTCGCGCTGACTTGAGCTGCTGTCGCTTCCCCGGAAAGTGGGTGTCCCCGGGGAGCAGGATGGGTGTGTTTGGACGCTGGCACCAACAGTGCAGGCGGCTCCCGGCTCCCAGTCAGGGCTCCGCTGACTGCGGGGGGGTGGGGGGGGTGGGGACCGGCCAAGGTGGCCCTGGCCCCCAGTGCTCAGGCGGCAGTTGGCTCGCGAGATCTGGGTCCTGGTCTGAGTTCCCCTGTGACAGCTTCCTCCCGCGCTGACTCTGTGCTCCGTTCACACCCCGCCCCTTCGGTGGACCCGCCCGTCCGTCCCGGGACCAGGGGTTTGGGGGCCGGTCCTGCGGCCGGTCCAGCCCCGATGTCGGAGAGCCGCAGAGACGGGGTCTCCGCTGTGCGCCCCGCAGCTCGCGGGCGAGCGTGCCTGTGGACACGGGGAGGCGCTCCCTCTGCGCCCCGTGGGTCCCGCCTTCCCCGGGGAGGCCCGGCCAGCACCACCCCCCCCATGGCACCGCCGTGCCTGCCCCTCTCGGGTGGGTCTCAAGGTTTCCAGAGGCAGGTGGCACAGGTGCGTCCCCAGACAGCTCCTGCGTGCACGGTGGGGTCTCTCCCTGCCCCCAGGGGCTCCCAGGGTGCCGGGGCTGCTGGGCCCCGCAGATGCGACTCTGGGCAAGTTCGCACCCGCTCCCTCGCCCCTCCTTTGCCCTGCGAAGCGGCACTTCGGCCCCGAAGATGCCACATTTCTGAGGAGAATGGAGGGACCCCACAGGGAACCGCAGGGCCTGGGAAGGCGGGTCCTCCCACCCCTTCCTTCTCCGCCCAGATGGGAGGTTTTCAGTAGTTGACGCCGTGCAGTCTGACCTGGACGTGTTCGGTGTTCGTGGAAGCAGAGCTGCTTGTTCCAAGTGCGACTCTCAGCGAGAAGATGCAGCGTCCCCCCCGTTCTGACTTCACGCTCAAGGGCCAATGAACCGGACTCTTCCTAAGCATCGGCAAGAGAGGCCAGTGCACTGCCCCAGGCTTGGGGGACCCTGGACAAGGAGCCGACCCCCCAGGACTGACCCGGGGGCCTGCCGGGTCAGCAGAGGGGAGGCAGACCCACCCGCCAGGATCGGCACGTGCCGAGGCGTCGGACGCCGACACCCTGTCCTTCTGTCCCTTCTCCTTCTGGTCTCCTCTCCCCCTTCCCCGGCCTCGGTCCCCGGGGCTCAGCCGTTTCTCAGACACTTAACCGCCTGTCTGTCATCCCGGACGGGGCACGTCCAGTCTTTATGGACTTTTCAAATTAATCCGAGACGGTCCCCCCGTGACCTGCCCTTGCTGGTGCTGCCGCGCGCGGCTGTTTAATTGCGGAGGTGGCCTCTGGCGGCCGCTGCCCCCAGTGTTTAGCGAGGCTGGAAATATGGATGTTCGCAGGGAAACTGGCAGACGGCTGACCAGGCACTTTTACTCATAACACACCAGTAAAACTTTAACTCGGAAGATTTAGTGTGCGCGTTCCAGCCAGCAAGCTGCAGCCATATGCAGATTTTTTTTTCCAACTTCTAAACTGATGGTTTTGCAAAGTGTGCATAAGCAGCCTTTATTGATTATGATGTTAAAAATTGAAGGCGTCAGTATCATTTAGCCCGAGACAGTTTTAAAGGAAAAATGAACATTCATTTTCATTATGAACTATGAAAAGGCCAGGGGCTGCCGAGGGCCACGTCCGTTACTCCTCAGAACCCGGGGCGGAGTTCTCTCAACTCGGCGTCTCGTCACAGAAACCGTGCGCCCTCGAAGGGTGTGAGTCAAGTGCCCGCACAACGGCTGCCCGAGGCGCGGCTCCGTGCGGCTCCAGGAGCGGCCCGTCGGCGGGGCTGGGCCACGGCCGCCACGGGGGACGGGTTCGCACTCTGCTCTGCGGGCCAGCGTCCCGCCCCACCCCACGCGGAGCTGAGCGGCCGCAGGGGTCTGACGGGGACCCCCACAGCTGGGCGGGCCAGTGCCCGGCTCCCACCCTCACGCGTCCCCCCTGCAGGGGCCGGTCGGCCCCGCCTGCAGGGCCCCTGGGCCCCTGTGTCTGCGTCCACCTGCCAGGAGGAGCTGGGCGCAGCGCAGACCCCACTGACGTCGGCGGGACGCCCCTCCTCTCCTGAGGTAACGAGAAAAATGCCCAAAGGTGTTTCCTTCTACTACAGCTTAACGGATTCATAGTTTTTTTTAATTTAAGACAATTTTAGATCTTCACCCAATGATAGGTTTATTGATTTTAGAGAGAGACGAGCATCAATGTGAGAGAGAAACATCAACTGGTTTCCTCCCGTGTGATTCCCCGACCCCGGGAATCGAACTAGCAACCTTCCGGTGCCCGGGACCGCACGCCAACTGAGCGCCACCCGGCGGGGGTTGTTTTTCTGTTAAAACGGGAAACGGCGGTTCCGTCAGAGAGGACGACAAGGGCAATTCGAGAGGAAGGTGCAGGAGGCCCCAGGCCTTGGCACCAGCGCCGCGGGGTGGGGGGCGGGTCTCGGCCGCCGTCCCTGCACTGGCCGCTCCCCTCCGTGTGCAGGTGCTGGGGGCCCCGGGCCTGGCAGGAGGACCCCGAAGCCAGAGGCGCTGGCGGAGACACACGGCCGGGACCCTCTGCAGCCGCCGGGGCAGGGCACTGCCGCTGCTGCGGGACACGGTTCTGGGGCACGGGCAGGCGCGCACGCGGGGGCAGCAGCAGACCCCGCCCGTCCTCCTCGCTGGGCCCCTGGGCACCCCCGCGGGACCGGGGCAGAGGAGGGTCCTCCTCTCGTCTGCGACCCGGCGGCCAGGGCCGATGCGGTGAGGTCGAGGGACAAGGCTGTGTCCTGTCTGGGCCCCAGACACTCACTGCGGCCCCTTCCCACTGGCGCCCAGACTGGGGTCCAGAAAGGCCCCTCGCGTGGGGGGCCGGCGTGCGAACCCAGAGAAACGGGGGCGGCAGCGCCCGCCCGTCCCTTGGCTCCGGGCTCCGCACTGCCGTGGGGCTGGGGTGGCCCCTTCCCTGAGCCCCCAGTCGGCCCTGACCGTGGCGACAGGGCCCTGCGGCGGCACAGGAGGCCCCCCGAGTACCAGATGCTCGCTGGGACCGGCACCGGCACCGAACACCAGGTGCGTGTGTCGGGGAGGACCCGGCGGCGGCGGCGGGAGTGCGGCCCACAGGCAGACCCCGTGTCCCCGGCAGACGCCCGCGGGAGAGCCCTCCGCGCAGCGGCTCCAGTCCGAGTCTGCGGAGAGCAGAGCCTCGTGGAGCCGGTCAGGGTTTCGGAGAGGACGCGCCGTCCCTCCCCCGCCCTGCGCGAGGTTCCAGCCCGCCTCTGGGTCCGCTGCCGGCCCTGCAGGGGCCACGCTGTCCTCTGCGTGTCTGAGCCTCAGGCGCCCCCGGCGCACCCGGCGTCACAGCGCTAGTGCGAGGGGACAGGGTGAGCAGGGACTCGCTGTTGCCCGCTCGCTCCGGCGCCCACTTTGGGAGGAGCTGCCCTCCAACTCGGCCCGCGCTCAGGCCCCGTTAGTGGACACTGTGACACGAAGCGTCGCTGGAGGTCAAGGCTCAGTTTCTCCGGATGGACGTTTGGAATTTCGTGGACTCACAGGGTCCAAAGAGGCTTTACAGCTCAGCCGAAAGCCACTGAGGGTGGGGACAAGGCTCCGCTGGGCCAGGCCCGGGGGCTGAGTGAGGGGCGGGCGGCGTCCTGACTGCCCGCGGCGGCCGGTGTCCCGGGCAGGCGCCGTGTGCGGACTCCGGGCTGGGGCTCAGAGCTGCGCGGAGTCCCGGGTGAAGGAGTGGACGCCCCGAGAGGCGCGGTGCCTGTCTAGGGCCCGCAGGGCAGCACGGGGCCGAGCCCGCGTCCAGTGGGGGGTCCCGTAGCTGTGGCTTCGCTCCGGGGTGGCAGCGTTCAGGGTCCCACAGAGCGTCCGCGTGGACGCGCCTGTGAGTGGCTGGGCTCGGCCGGAGCGCCGGGAGGCTCTGCGGAGTTAAGGACTCTTTCTAGCTCGGGTCTGACTGCTGCGCGTCGGTAGCAGCTGCTGCCTGGTGTCCGGCGTCCGGAGACAGACGCGGCTCGTGCTCGTTTGCACCCCTCTGCACCCCGCTTCCCCGACGGCCTGCTCCCCGTCATTCACAGGGGGGACCGCGGGGCCCCGAGGCTGAGCCTGCCCTTTCCCCACTCTGCAGCAGGGTGTGGGCGCAGGAGCGGAGCCCAGCGAATCCGTCCTGCGGTCCCCGGAAGACGCGCCCCAGGGCTTTGGGAGGGGCCGGCACCCGTTCAGTCGCGCCCTCGGAGGAATTGCGCGGGTCCAGCCACGCCCTCGGGGTGCCGGAGCGCGCGCGCACGCGCACAGCCGCCTCCGCCGGCGCTGCGACCTGGCTGGTTCCCAGGCCTCCAGTTAGCTCCCCATCAAGAATTAATGCAATATCATGCACACACCATTACTGAAAAATTCTACGCTGTTTTTTGCCAAGTGTTCCTATATAACAGTTTTATCACAAGTCTGACAGCCTCCATAAAAATTCCAGGCATTCCATATCAACAGCCCTCTTTGTACTAAGTTATTAAACATTAAATTTTTATTCGTCATTTGTATTCTGTTATGCAAAATAAGCTCCTTGATAAGATGTGTCTTCTTAATTGGGCCCTTGATGCTTCTTGGATTGGAGTTGTCAGATTAGCTGGAAGGAGAGGCGGTGCGCGGAGCCAGCCCGCTGCCAGGAGACCGATCGCGCTGCAGCGGCGATATTGAGTTAGCGGGGCCAACCCGAGGGCAGCGCCCGGCTCAGGTGAGGCTCCGCATCTGTGCCGTCTCCTGCTCCGGCGCGTTTCTCCTGGCATCAGCAGGGCTGATGGAAATAGATTTGTTGGTTGTTTACAGCGTGCAGCTGTGGGCAGGCTGCATGGGAGTTGTAGGGGATGGAGGCAGATTTGTACTGAGACTAAAATATTGAGCTTTGCTCCCGTCAGCAGTCTGCGGAATCTTATTGTCGAAAACTTTATCTCGTTGTAGCTTTCCCCAGGGTGGTTTTCATTTGCAGCTGCCCTGGTCTGTCTCTCACCGCCCGTCCCCCGCCGCCACCGCGGCGTTAGTGCTTGGCGGGAGCCAGCCCGCCCGCCCGGCCGCGCAGGCGCCCGTGTGGCTCCTCCTGCGGGGGCTGCTCGCCGGGCTCGGCGGCGGGGCGGCCATGTTCTCTCCCTGCCACGCGGGCCCCGGGCCTCGGCGCTGGGGACCCGGCCGCTGGCTGCCCTCTGCGCCGAGCCCCTCGGCCCAGACGTGGTGGGGAGCTCCACGGGGAGGGCCAGTGCTGTGGGGGGGGCACACTCGGTGCCCCCCGTGCTCATTCTGGTTTCCAGGTGGGACCTGGGCAGGTCCCTGCAGCTGTTCTTTGTCCTCAGACGCCGCTGAGGGGAAAAGGGGAAGCACACTGTCCCGGGCGCCAGGGCGATGCCGGTCACCCAGTGGGAGACTCGTCGGTGCCCCGTGGGGCCCTCTTGGGGGTTGTTGAGGTCAGAGGGTGTCCTTGGTTTTCAAACAGTGGTGCGTGTCTGCGTGTCTGGGGCAGGAAGGACAGCGGGTCTCTGGCGCTCAGGACAGAGCTCAGTCTGACTGGAGATCCTGCTCCAGCGCCTCCGCCTGGGGGTGGGGTGGGGAGGGCGGTGGCAGACCCTCTGGCCGGTGCCAAATGTCCCTGTTCTCACAGGAGAAGCCCCTGGCTGGCTGGACCTCCTGAGCAGGGGCAGACCCCCAGGTCCCACCGAGGAGGACAGACCCTCAGCGGAGTCTCTGCCCCTGAGGCCAGCGGAGGGCCCTGTTCGCTCCCGGAGACGAGCCCTGCAGAGGAGGGGCAGGCCCCAGCGCCCAGGTCTCCTTCACGGACGCGTCCATGGCATGCGGGAGTGCGGCCGGAGCAGCAGAGAGGTGAGCCTCCCCGGAGAGACGCCCTTGGTCGTGGGCTTTGCTCGGAGCCTGGCCTGAGTTGTCCGGTTGGCCGGCCACTGGCCCCAGTCCCCAAGACGGCCTTCCGCTGCCCGACCCGGATGCCCCTGAGGCAGCTGGTGTCCAGATGCCCATCTGCGGCCTGCACCCCGGCAGTGCCCATGCGCGGGACCTCAGTGGAGCTCGGAGCCCAAGGCCTGTCTCCTGAAGCATCTGCTCCCCCTCCCACAGGAAGCGGCAGCTCCCTCACGGCACAGACGGGACACCCGTGCGCGGAGACGTGAGTCCACCACGGCCCGTCACAGAGCTCGCAGCCCGAGTGGCAGGAGAGAAGAAGAAAGGGACAGGTAGGAGCCCCAAGCCCCAGCCTCCAGGTCCGGGGCCGCCCCCTCGGCGAGCGCGACACACCCTGAGTGGCTGTAACCTCGACGCTGAGGCCCACGCTGCCGCTGATGACAGAGACACCGCTGGCCCGACTCGGCCCCCGACCTCCCCACCCATGGCCCCGTGAGTAATGACAGACAGACATTATCTACATTCCAAACACATGCAGGTTAATGAAGGATCGCTCTTTTCTGGTAATCCATAATTCTCCTAGATAAGGACGCCTTTTCCCACACGTCTGAGAGCCAATAGCCACTTGGACCAGAGTGGCCTTGGCTCCTGGCTGCGTCCTGACATCTTCAGGAGGTCGTGCGTGCGGCAGGAGCGGCTTGCAGAGACCGAGGACGGAGGATGATGTTCCTGGCAGGCCCGGCTGCTGGAGATTCCAGTTTCCAGATCTCATTATCTGCAGGTGCCGACACGGGGGCTGTCAATCACAGAGAGACGTGAGAAACCGCAGCCACACGGGGGCCTGCCTGACCCCCTCCTCTGCTCTCTGGGGATGGAGAAAGCTCCGAGGGGCTGTCTTACAAGGAGTTCAGCCCCACTGAGCGAACCCCAGGACTTGGCCTTGTGGGCGTCGGCTGCCCACGTGTGACCCGCAGCAGGAGGAGCCCCTGGTGGCTGCCTGGCCGCAGGAGCGGGGCCGGTCCAGTTGCCTCGGACCCCGGGCACCTTGCTGTGGGCACCGGCAGGCATCCACCACCAGGACTCCACGCTGCTGCGGGCCCCCGAACACCAGCCCTGGAGGGTAGTCACCTGCTGAGGCCAAAGGTCCCGGCCAGGGCTCGTCCTGAAAGTCTCCACCATCCACAGAACAACACTAAAAAAAGTGAAACCCCTGCCTACAAAATAAAGGTTCAGAAAAGAAAGGTTCAGAAACAGCGCCGATAACCAGGCAGGCACGACACCGCTTCCTGAGGCTTTGCCTGACTTCCCTAGTGCCGGCCTGCGGGAGACCCCCAGCCCCACAGGGCAGGCACCGGCAGGTGGGAGCCTCCTCACAGGACCCAGGGCACATAAGGGAGGGATGGGCATGCCCCGCTCTTGCTCTCGGGGAGACGTGGTCCCCACAGAGCAGCTCCTGGGACGCGGGGGCCCCATGGGCAGTGGTTGGGCCGGAGGGGTTCCCGTGCATCCGAGGTTGGGGCTCCTTCCACAGTAGTGGCTGCCCACCCCGCCCCCAGCTCCAACCACTCTCACCAAGAAGACGTGTTGGCCAGATTGTCTAGCTTCTTAAAAGAAGCTAGAAATTCAAACTTCCATTCACTTACTCATTTTAAATTCAGGCCCCTGGTTCAGATCTTAAGAACAACACAGTAAAAACACTGGGCGTTGGGATGCCCACTTACTGCTTCTCCGCTGAGGACTGAGAGAGGATTCCCGTGGGGGAAACCAGGAACACCACGAGGCCGTTGCTTCCCCAGAGCCCTCGGAGTCTCCGCGTCCGGTCGGCGCGCACAGAGCCGTGCGTTCCCAGGAGGCCGGTGCGAGAGGAAAGCACTCACTCTTCCTTCACGCCATCGGTGGGTTTTTTCCTAAAGTTTCAAGAAATTGTCCTTTTACACAAAGTATAATTTGGTCTTGGATTTATTCACTAACTTCCCCCCAGTAGAGTCGTTCTCGAGAGGCCTTGGCTGTGGGCCCAGGCGAGGGGCCTGCCCTGCCAGTTGGGTCTGTGAGCACAGAACCAGCTAACGAGACACGGAGCGGCTTTTTCGGAGACGGCGGACCCAGACCGCAGGTCACGTGGCTGCAGCCTGCACGGAGGACGGCAAAGTCTCGCCTCCACTCCCCTGCCCCCCGCCCGACCTGCACGGACCCAAAGGACTGGGCATGACCGGAACTTAACACCAGAAACTCTCAGAAGCTCAGGGTCTGCTGTCCAAGGAGATTGGTGCCGGCGCCCCTTTCACCACAAACAGCCGAGCTCCAAGGTCCTCCAGTTAAACCTGCCACCAGTGTCCCGCATCCCCGGTGCCCCCAAACCCTTAGAGCCCTTGGCCTGGCCCAGGGAGCAAGTGGGATGTGAGGCACCAGTGGGGTCCTAATATCTTGGTGGGAACCTTCTTGATCAGTAAACCTTTCCTTCCTCCAAACTCTGACCTTCGGGTTTTGGCCTTTCAAAGCTCGGCACAGGCATGGGGACCAGGACAAATGCCAGCCCCCTCACCGTCTCTCTGCGCCTCTGCCCGCCCCGCTGCCTCCTCTCCCACCACCCCCAGACACGCTTTCGGGGTCGGTCTGTTAGGCCTGTTACGGCTGCAGATGCACAGAACTCGGAGGAGACTCTCCCCACTCCCCTGTGAGTTTCTATTTCTTCCCTTTGCCTGTTGGACACTGTGAGGCCGTCTGGCCGGTGCCCTTCAGCGAGTCGTCAGTGTCTCTGAGTAGCAAACACGAGGGCGACAGCAGCCAGCCCGGGGCCACCGGGGACCAAGTCCGCTGGAAAGGCCCCTCGTGCCAAACAAGGGCAAGTGCCGAAGGCCCCCCGCCCCTCCTCTCAAGGGATGAACAGGGGAGACTGCCGTGCAGCCGGCAAGCAGGGCCAGGGTCCCGTCTCACTGTGGGTGACTCGCGAGGAGCCCGAGAGGAAGTCCTCCCTTTGCACGGGACGCGTGGCTGCCCCCAGCGGTCCGGGCCCGCGGGCTCCGCCCCCGCCCAGCCCCGGAGCAGCCCTGACAGCTGAGGCCAGGAGGGCATCACCAGAGCCTCTCCGTGGAGACTGACGCCCATTTTGCTTTAAAATGTTGAAGCTGATTGATTCTTTCCGACAACAGTTTCTCAAAGGCTGTGTCACCTGCCTAATGAGTTTGAGCCTTTGCGCAAGGCGAGGGGTTGACAGACCCGCTGCCGGCCAGCCTCCCGTTCCCGCGGAGACCTCGCCGGCCACTGGGCCGGCAAGAACAGGGAGGCCGATGCGGGCGCTGCCTCACCCCTGGCCCTGCCTGGACACCTGGCTGAGCTCCTGGGACTCGCGACCCACCCCCGTGCAGCCCGAATTAACGCTTCCAAGTTCTTCAACTCAACAAGCCTTTCTTGAGTCTCCAGGACTCGCATGCCGGAGGAGGAGAAGACGAGGGAGTGCGTTTGATGGGCTCCGCCCTCGGGAACTTGGTGCAGGCGGCGGAGCAGAAGCAGGAGCTGCAGCAGCGGGGCCGGGCCCTTCGGCCGGGGGCTGTGGGGCAGACGCACGGGGGTCAGTCCTGGGGGGTCCTGCCCCCTTATCAGGGTCTGCACCGAAGGAATCCCGCCCCCCCGGGCCCGCCAATTCCTGCCTCCAAGGAATTGCGCCAGACACAGAGCATAAAATCGGCAAGGGCAGAAAACCCTTTCACTTCCCCAGGGGCAAGCAGACCGCGGGAAAGCGGGCGGGCTGCTCCCCACCAAGCACCCCGGCGGGGGAGCGGCCTTCCGACCCAGGCGGGCCCAGCCCGTCTCCCCGCGGCGCTCGAGAGAGACGCAACAGCTGCGGATGACAGGCCCTCCCAGGAGCGGTGCCGGAGAACTTGACATTCCCCATTCCCTCTCCCATTGGCAGCTGTCAGCCCGGGTGACAGCACACAGGCGCTACCTATGGCTCCATGGGTGCCCGGCCCCAGGATTGAGAAACACCTGTCTCCGCCCCTGACAGCCAGGCGGCTGGGGCTGCGGCTGCAGGTGCAGGCCGGGGAACGCCTCGCTGCAGGCCCGCGGCGCGGCAGGGCAGGGCGTGAGCGCGCAGGGTGGCTGAGCGCCGGCGGGAGGCAGGTGCCCGTGGAGCGCGCAGCTGTGGCTCTGGAGGTGGCTGCACCTTCTGCGCGAGTCTCCTCTTCACCAGCGGGGGGCGCTGTTCTCGGTGGTAAATGCCGAGGGGAGAGACGAGGGAAAAGGGGGGAACATCTGCAACCCGCTGTACAACGTCACCGCTGTGGGTGTGGGTGCGGGTGCGTGCTGAGAGACAGTGTAACACACCTAACAAACGTGTAAGGCCGTGTAATACTCTGCACACACGCGCACACACCGTCTCCCCTGAATTCAGCGCCGCCCTCCACCACGCCTGCGCAGAGGGGCGGCACCGGGCGGAGGGCGCGCGGAGGGCGCGCGGAGGGGGCGCGGAGGGGGCGCGGAAGGTTTTTACTCCGCCAGAGCGTCCGCACGCAGCCCCGCCGCTCCGTCCGGCTCGTGGCCGCCTCGCGGCGGAGGGTCGGGCGCTGAGTTTGAATCTACGCTTTCTCCACGCTCGGCTCCCCTCCGCCAAAGGCGGTCGTGGTCACTCGGTGGGAAGCTTCTTTTTACGGAACGTGCGTGGGTGACCTTGACTTTGAGGGCTTCACACGCGCCTGTGCTGGCTGGCCTGTCCTTGAAGCTCGCCGGGGACCAGCGGGGCTCGCTCCGCGCTCCCGGTCCGGCCCCCGTGCGGCCCGGTCAGCTCGCACGTGTGTCCCTGCAGACGAGGGAGGGTCTCCCCGAGAGCCCGTGGGAGGCTGCGGGACCCCAGGCCTCCCCTAACTGGGACACGCCACGGCCCACCCCCAGGGACCCGGCGCTGTCTGCCCCCTTCCATGGCGTGGTCACGCGTGTGGCCGACAGTCTTCTTTGTCCACGTTACAGTAGCGTTTTCGTCCTGGGTAATGGTGGCCTCTTCCTAAAGCCGTTTTAGTTGGTGACCAGCCGTCCAAGGTCATGGCGACACCCTCTCCTCAGTGCTCGAGCAGCCCAGGGCTGGGGGCGGCGGGGGCGGCGGCGGCGGCGGCGGGGCCCCGGCGGACAGGCACCTCCCATCCGCACCCGGCCTGCCCGTACTAACCAGGACGACCGCGCCCCGCAGGGGTCAGAGGGCGCACGGGGAGCCCCAGCTCGCCACCTGCCGGGCCCCACCTGCTCCTGCTCCTCCTCCTCCTCCTCCCCCTCCTCCCCCCTCCCCTCCCCTCCCCCCCCCCCCCTCCCCCTCCCCCCCCCCCCCCCCCCCCCCCCCCCCCCCCTCCCCCCCCGCCCCCCGCAGCAGCAGCAGCAGCAGGCCCCTCCTTGTCACGACTCAGCCACAGTGGAGGCAGTCGCAGTCGGGGGCTGGGCTCCCCACCCTGCCCCCAGAGAAGCGGTTTCCCTGGCCCTCTCGGGGAGCCCCACTCTGGCCCGGGAGGACCCTGGGCCCCGGAGCTGGCTCGCTCTCTGCTGGCTTTTGAGGACGTGCCGAGTTCTGCTCAGAGCCACAGACCCCCCCAAAGGGGCAAAGGGTGGCTTTCCACCCCCGAAGCCACAGAGCTGCAGCCACTCACGGGGACAGCGGGTCAGAGACAGATGTGGGGCACTGAACCCAGGTGTGCGGCCACCACACGCCCGCCGCTCCCGAACCTCGCGCGAGGCCCCTCGCGCAGCTCATGGCGGAGACCTGACTCACTTAATTCCACGTGTGTTCTAGAATAAGCTAAAAATGGCTGACATTTGAAAATCGAGACCGACATCGCCGGAAGCACAAAAATAAGGCGGTGGGTGGTGGGTGGCGCATTCTCATGCGAGCATTTGGGCAGCAGAGGGGCGGGGGCTATTCAAAGCCAACAAGGAGACGACTTGTCTGTAGTCACAGATAAAAATGGCCTTCGGTGTGGGGGGTGGCTGCTTTTAAGCTTCCTTTGATGGTGGCAAACCAGGTTTCCGTGAACGGGAGCCTGTCTCATAAAAGGGAGGAGGGCAAGTGCGGCGTCTGCTGCGTGGGCCTGCTCGGGGGGCCTGGCCAGGCACCCCGTCCGCGGGGTCCCGGGGCTCCCGGGGCCCCTCCGAGGCCGGCCTTCCACGAGGCGCATTATCTCCCAGAAACACATAATGCGCCGGACGGGGCGGCTGCACTACAGCAAGCCTCTAAATTGTGTTTGGACAAAGAATAATTGAACGCCGGACAGAATAACAAATGCCCCGGTCAAGTTTGCTTCGAGGGTTTATCGTGTTGTATTAACATGATAGAAATATGAATACTTAAATCTTATCTCAGGTGTAGTTTATAACTGCATTAATCATTCACTGTATTATATATTTTTCATGTCAGAGAGGTGCTGAGGGAAAGATTCAATTTCACAGCACAGTCAGAGAGTGAGGCCCAGATAAGTCAGGGCCGGGCTCGCAGCCCCGCAGCCGCAGACCCTCGTGGGGGGGTGGGGGCTGGACGGGCGCGACGAGGTCCCACGGTCCCCAGCCCGCCGTGCGGCGCCACCCCCGCTCGCCCAAACCACACTCACACTCACAGCTGTTTGCCCCCCTCGGCCCTCCCCACAGACGGGGCCTGCCCTGCGCCGTGTGCGTGCGGGCGGCTGCGCAGGGGAGGGGGCAGCAGGGGCTGTGGGGGCGTCTTTGATGCCCCCTTCCTCCTGAGCCAGGTCCCCTCATCCCCCTTAAGGGATGTTCGCCCCAGAAAGGCCACCAGCCTGGCCAGCGCACTGCT